TGGAGAGAAAATGTTTTGAGAAATGATGTACAAATACGCTTTACACAATTGATGTGTGTATGGATTGGGATAACAGCTGTATGAGCCCCTAATAAAATGTTTTAAAAAATATATATATTTTCTCCTACAATCATCAAAAAAAAAAAAAAAAGGATGTAAAGCCTTGGAAATCCTCTGGACCTATTCTACTCAGTCCTATAGGGTCTCTATGCATCAAAATTGTTAACCCAACAGCAGTAGGTTTGGTTTGGACCTGTGTACCATGAGGGCAGTTATACACACAGGTGACATGCTGCTCAGGAGCCAGATGTTCTGCCTGGCCTTGATTCTTGACCCTAATTTCTAGGTCTGTGACCTCTGGCAACTTGTTTAAATTTTCTGTCCCTCAATCCCTCATCTGTGTAATGCTGTTCCTAGTTCTCTGTGTCAATCCCTGACACATGGCAGATCATATGTAACAGAGCAGAACTGCTCCCTAGGACTTTCTTGGCTATAATCTTTACTGAAGAATTTACCAGGCCTTTCTTCTGTGAACCTGCTGGGTTAGCAGCCAATCATAAACAGCTTGTGCTACCCAGGCACCTACCTGTATAATAAGGACGATAATGTAATTACTTATTATCATAAAGATTAAATAACTTACTGTACTTAGCTTATTATTATAAGTATCAAATAAGGACTAACCAAATTGATATTTATATAAAGTATAGTACAATGCAAGGAGCATTGGTAGCATAGTGATTAAATCTTGGGTTGAGTACCACAAGGTCAGTAGTTCAAAACTACCAGCTGCTACTTGAGAGGAGGAAGAGGCTTTCTACTTTCATAAGTAGTTACAGTCTTTGAAACCCACAGGGCAGTTCTACTTACTATAAGGTTGCCATGAGTTGTAAATGACTTAATGGAGTGAGGGGTTTTTTGGTTTGTTTTTTAACAGAACTGTGTTTGGTGTAAGTGCTTGCTATTTCCCCATTATCAAATATACCAAAATATCTTAAAAACTGGAGAATATATACATTAAGCATTCATTAATAATGTGTAGAGGTACTTTTTCTATGAAATAAAATCACAGATTTACTAGACAGATTCAGGAAATCAATGGCAAAGTCTCTTAGTATGTTTAATGGGTTACATTTCCAACATTTATTAGTCCCAGTTAAAAGGGTTTTTTTTCATTTGTTTAAACAAGTGAAGAAACTTTTCATTTAAAATAAAAATTTCAATGACATTCAAGGTTTTATATAATAATAACAAAAATTTCATCAGCAAAAAAACTTTAGTAGAAAGAGAATATCGACAGCAAAACGTAAAGAGATTTTCATCAGAGAAAACTAGTACTCAATCAGTAACTGAAGACATTAGAGTGCAGAGGTCATTCAGGGATGCTGCTTTTGTTGTTGTTGTTCTAAACCCAGAGTGGGCTTGGGCACAGCTGAACAACTGCTGCTCCTCCAAGCTGTTGTGACTGCGCACTCAGCAGTGTAGATGTGTCAGTAAGTAAGATCGGATCTGTGGAAATGAACCCCACATTTGGAGTCACCTTTTGGGCTTTTTTCCCTCTCTTTCAGTCTTTGAGTTAATTCCAATGACAAGTTTCAGGGGTGAAAACTCATTTACCAATTTCTTGATTTTTAAAATTAAAGCAGTTAAGTAATTATAAGTAATTATGCGGGGAGGTGGGGGGCGCGGGGATTTTAAAATATTGTCGGAAGAATGTCTCCATAATTGGTCATGCTGGTTTAAGACATTGGAAGTTCATGGTAAGTTGCGTGTCTTCCCGTCCCATGATGGAAAATCTGTGAGGAAAACCAAGAAGTTAGAAATTTTAATTGGCACTTATAAAGTCCCATTAGTATGCATCTCAAAAGGCTCTCCTCTCATTCTACTTCAGTGGGATGCACTTGCTTGAAATAAGGCAGAGGGTGGGTCTGATGGAGATTTCATCTCTAGTTCTCAATTTATTATAACTCTACATAGTTAATGGGTGGCTTTCTGTTTCTTGAAAACACTTGTCAATTTATTCTGCGGGCAACAGTTTATTACTCACCTGCTTCTCAATGTCTAAAAGCAGTGTGCTGGCCCCTATTCGAAAGAGTTCTGGCTTCAGCCATTCATCTCCTAGCTCCTCCTTTATAAGAGAGAGCCATACAAGGGCATCCTTGGCACTGCGGATGCCTCCAGCTGGTTTAAACCCAATCTACAACGGAAGATGGGGAAAGAACAATGCTTGATATCATCAGATTGCATTTAAAAATACACTGAGTTTATTCAGGGTCTCAATTCTTTTTCTCTTTTCTTTTCAAAGAGACAAGACTCTTCACAAGCAAAATAGCTTGGATCACCAACTTACACTCACTCACACTGCAAAATAACTCTACCCAGAATAATGGGAAGAATGTTTTGGCTTCTGAGGAGACAAAAATGAGGGTTAATAACCCTCATTAACATTTCAGTTATTGGTAAGTCATAAATAAGCCTCAGCTACCTAGCCTACAGCTGCAAACAGGGCTAAACAAGAGAAGTATCAGTAAATAAGAAAACAAGTATTACAATAGCCCATTCAGTCGATATTTTTACAAGTACACCCATAAAGTTTACCTTACAACCTTCATTTTCAGGTTCAAAAAATATAAGTATTTAAATAAGAGAAAAGAATCAGTGAGGCCACAGGGCCACATTAAACAAACTGGTAGCAATTTAACAAGGACATCTGACCCTTATTTTAAGCAACTTAACTCTTCTCTTGTTTGGGGTTGTATGTAGATAAAGTTCTACAAAGCAGGCATCCCAGTTAGGAAAGCAGAGTAGAAAAAGATAGTGTAGGGACTCTTCACACTTCAAGAGTCTTTGAGGTTTGACTCCAAAACAACAATATTCAGACAATATCACATGCCTATAAAAGATTTTTTCCCCAAAAAAACCCCATTTCTTTGGAGGCTAATACAGATATCATACTGCTCCATAGCTCAACCACATTGAGCAATATTGCACACTTGCTACCACAATCAGTTTCCAAACATTCTCTTCCTTCTTGAACTCTTTGACATCAGCTCCCCTTTAACCTCCCTCTCCCACACTGTACCCCCAGGAACCCTTAGTCTACGTGTTGTCTCTATGGGTTCACCAATCCTGGGTTTCATGGCTAAAAAAACCATAAAAACATATAATAAATCTTCAAGAGGGTGACCCCCAGTAACAAAACGCATCTGAGATAAACCCCGATATGAAAACAGAAAATACAGAAAATGCTGAAAACAAGATCAGGCCCAACGTACATCAGAGGGGGGATCAACTAACAAGGTTTTAACTGTTTAAGTCAGGTTTATCTTTTCATTTGCTACAGGCATCCCTTCAATGGACTCTGTTTGGTAACCAGATTCTTCCCGTCCCATTATGGAGAGAAGGAAAACACGGGCAGCTAATTCCTATGTAGATGGCACAAGTAAAAGAGAAAAAGAGAGCTATCTTCTGACATCATAAAACACCTGTGTTAGTCTGGGTAAACCAGGGAAACAAATCCGCAGAAACTCATATACATATAACAGAGCATTTTATATAAAGCGCTTTATATAAAGCATCCCAACCCAGTGCTGTCAAGCCCATAAGTCCAACATTATCCCATGTGTCCTACACCAATCTCCAAAGTCCTCCTCAGTCTCACAAAACTCATGCAATGATGCCAACTGCAGGAGGAAAGCCGAATCAGTGAGCATGTAAGCATCTCAGTGCTGGCAGGGGTCTTCACACGGCTACTCCAGCACCCAAGGTTGCATCAGGGTAGGTCCATGTGGCTTCTCCTCAGCGATGTCTCACAGGAAGTGAGCCTTGCCAGCTGAAGCAGGGAACTAGCTAAGGCAGCTGCACCCTGGTCTGACCATCACAAAGCAAAAGGCCCAAGATCTAGAAAGGTGAGGCTCACCTGGCCATTTATCTCTCTGCTCTTCAATTAACCCCACATGTGTTTATCGGCCAAGTTGGCACAATACACCTTAGTTATCTCAACACCACTCCATGTATAGTACAAACCCTGTTGACCTGGATTTATTTGTACCTGGAAATTGATCAGTAGGGTAGAGAACCTGTGTTGGTTAGTCAACTCCGACCCATAATGACCCTGTGCACAATAGAATGAAACACTGCATGGTCCTGCGCTATCCTCACAATTGTTACTGCACCTGAGCCCATTGATGGAGTCACTGTGTCAATCCATCCCATTGAGAGTCTTCCTTTTTTTTTGCTGCCCTTCCACTTTACCAACATGATGTCTTTCTCTAAGGATTGGTCTCTCCTGACAATATGTACAAAATATGTAAGATGAAGTCTTGCCATCCTTGCCTCTAAGGAGCACTCTGTCCTTACTTCTAATACAGATCCATTTGTCATTTTAGCAATCCATTTTGTAATTTCAATATTCTGATCCAGCGCCACAATTCAAATGCATATGATGCAATGAAGAATACCATGGTTTGGGCCAGGTGCACCTCAGTCCTCAAAGTAACATCATTGCTTTTTCACTCTAAAGAGGTCTTGTGTTGCAGATTTATCTAATGCAATATATCTTTTGATCTCTTGACTGCTGCTTCCATGAGCATTGATTAGATCCAAGGAAGACAAAATCCTTGACCATTTCAATGTTTTCTCCTTTTATCACGATTCCTCTTTGTCCAGTTGTGAGGATTTTGGTCTTTCTTACATTATAATCCAGACTGAATGCTACAATCCTTGATCTTCATCAGCAAGTGCTTCAATTCATCCTCTCTTTCAACAAGCCAGGCTGTGCCATCTAAGTAACGCAGGTTGTTAATAAGCCTTCCTCCAATCCTGACGCCACAGCCTTCTTCATATAATCTAGCTTCTCTGAAGATTTGCTCAGATTGAACAAGTGTATAGACTGAACCAGTATAGTGAGAGGATACAACCCCAATGCACATATTTCCTGATTTTAAACCCTGGATATTCCTCTGTTCTGTTCACACAACTATTGCTTGATCCACGCACAAGTTCCAAATTAACACAAAGAAGTGGTGTGGAATTCCCCATCTTCTCAATGTTATCCAGTTTATTATGGTCCACACAGTTGAATGCCTTGGCACAGTCAATGAAAGACAAGTAAACATGTGGAATCAATGACATCATTCTTAGCTTGAGCATTCTGTTGGGTCACCTTTCTTTTGAATCTCTTCCAGGGCTTCTTCAGCTTGCTGAAACATTTCAATGGGTATGCCATTAATTCCTGGAACCTTGTTTTCAGCTAATGCATTCAGTGCAGCTTGAACTTCTTCCTTCAGCATCACTGGTTCTTGCTATTATACTACCTCCTGAAATGGAAGTCAACTAGTTCTTTTTGGTACAGTGACTTTGTGTATTCTCTCCATCTTCTCTGGATACTCCCTGTAGCATTCAATATTTTGCCTATAGAATCTTTCAAAATTGCAACTCTAGGCTTGATTTTTGTTTTGAGTGTTTTCACTTGCAGATATGATCATCCTTTTGATTTTCTAATTTTAGGCCCTTGCACATTTCGTTACTACATTTGGCTTTGCCCTCTCCCCCTGCCCTTTGAAACTTTCTATTCAGCTCCTTGACTTCCATTTGCTTTAGTTACTCCATGATTGAGAGCAAGTTTCAGAGTCTGTTGTGATCACATTGATCTTTTCTGTCTTTTTGATGACTTTTTGCTTTCTTCATAAATGATGTTCTCAATACACTCCCACAGTTCATTGGGTCTTCTGTCATTAGTGTTCAATGTGCCAAATATGTTCTTGAGACGTTCTTGAAATTCAGGTGGGATCGACTGAAGGTTGTATTTTGGCTTTTGTGGACTTGTTTAATTTTCTATAGCTTTATCTTGTACTTACATAGGAGCAAATCATGGTGTGTTCCACAGTCAACCCTTGGTCTGGTTTTAGCTGCTGATATTGAGTTTCTCCATCATGTCTTCCTACAGTTGTAGTCAATTTGATTTCTGTGTATTCCACCTGGGGAATTCCATGTGTACCGTTTCCTTTTCTGTTGCTGAAAAAAACCATATTTGCTCTGAACAAGGAGTTAGCTTTGCAAAAGTCTATCACATGATCTCCAGCTTCATGTCTATCACCAAGTCTGTGTTTTCAGCTACTGTTCCTTCTTTATTTCCAACTTTTCATTCCAATCACCAGTAACTATCAATGCATTTTGAACCCATATTCCATCAATTTCCACCTAAAGTCATTGGTAGAATTCTTCAATTTCATCACTAGCTTTCGTGATTGGTGCACGAATTTGAATAATAGTTGCATTGATTGGTTTTCCTTAAAATAGGATAGATATAATCCGATCATAGACAGCACTGCACTTCATGGTGGATTTAGCAAGATTAGTTCTGAAAATGAATGCCACATCATTTTTCTTGCTAGTATTTGTGGTTGGTCGTACTGTGGTAGCTTGTGTGTTGCTGTGATCCTGGAAGCTATGTCACTGTTATTTCAAATGCCAGCAGGGTCACCCAAAGTGAAAAGGTTTCAGTGGAGCTTCCAGACTAAGAACAGACAGTGAAAATGGACTCCGTTCCCCACTTTGGAGGAAGAAGCCACTGAAAACCTCCTGTATAGCTTCAAAGCCCTGTCCTATACTGACAGCCTGAGTAAAGGAAGCACAACATTGCCCGAGATAGTCCCTGAGAATGGGTCACTCAGGCCCTCGGGCACTTAAAACGTGACTGAAGAGGAGCTTGGATGGGAGTCGACCATGGTGACGTGAGCCAGGGAAAGCCCGTGGGAGTGAAGCTTTCAGGCTCTTCACCTGCTGATGGGGCACGACTAAAGGTAAAGAGAAACAGATGCAAAAATCTGCTAATCATCAGAACTTGGAATGTGCACAGTATGAATTTAGGAAAAATTGAAGTGGTCAAAATTGAAATGGAATGCATGAAGATCAATATCCTAGGCAGTAGTGAGCTGCAATGGACTATTATTACTGGACATTTTGAATCAGAAAATCCTATGATTTACTGTGCTGAGAAAGAGAACCTATAAGTGTGAATGACTAAGCAAAACAACATGCCATAGCCCATGTATGAAAGCACACTTTTTAATCGCTCAAAGTTACTGGTTTGACGAATGGCACCTGCAGGATGAAACAAAGATATATGATAAAGCAGGGAGACAATGAATGAATCATCCCATCAACAACTCAAGCTAGAGACCTGATGATCCAAGGTAGTAACCTCATGGTTAACCTGGAATCCATTTCCTTCAATTCACCACAGCCAATGAAGCATCATTGTGCTCTATCATTCCCATCTCCTGACCGTCTATATCTGTCACACACACACTATCCTCTCTACTCTTCTACCACTTTAGCTTATATTCTTGTAAACAGACTTTTCTTTCACTGGCTTCATTGACTCAAGCATACATCAACCATCAACACAGCTCATCAGCAGTGGTGCAGGGATTCAAACTACATCTGCCTATTGCTCCAGAGCCTAAGCTATGACTCTGTAGAAGGTGGGGTAGGAAGCGGGCGTGGGGGTCGGGGGACAGTAGGGTAAAGAATAATGGGATGAGCGTATTTGTTAAAAAGAGAATCTCTCATTAGTCAATTAACTACCATTAGCATACATGGTAATCATAGGAGCATTTCTGTGCATTAGTCAGTATTATGTATAGACCTTTCTTATACAAAAAGTTCGCTGTGTGTTACCAAGTCTGTTTGGTAATGTTGTCAAAGGCAGATTCCAATGTAAGATTATCCTTATTTTTTTTCTTTTTTAAGGGAAAGAACTCAGGAATCATAAATATGCAAATGAAATATTAAACCTTTGCTTCTCACGAGTGACACTAATCATGGTTTGGAAGATGGCCCATCACATTTTAAAGCATCCCTTAAATCAATGAGGTAAAAACTTTACAATCCAAGGGCTGCCCAGTCTCCTTCCTTATCGGCAACTCTACAGGCTGCGCCTGATTTGCAGATACATTTACAGGTCTTCATTGTGTGAAATCAAACATGATTAAAATGAATATGGTTTGACTTGTACCTAGCCCTTTTTTAAGCAAAACTGAGGAATGAATAAAGTTGTTTTAGAAGATGTATTGAGTTTGATGGTCTGCAATGTAAACCACCCCACCCACTTCACACACACACACACACACACACACACACACACACACACACCATTTAAAGAAAGTATCCAAAGATAGGAAAGCGTCCTCGCTTTTGTACTCTGGAACATCCTTCATATTCCTCTGCTGAACAATTAAGAACAATTTTTTCAAACTTTTAAAATCAAAATTCTATTTTTTGCTGTTTACGAGCTTTCATTTGTTGTTCATTTTTGTGTCCCTAGCACTGAGCACAAGGAGCCGTGGTGGTGCAAAACAACCTCAATGGCTACGGGCTCAGCTGCGACCAAACAGGCTGGTGGTATGAGCCCCTCGGGCGGCTCCTGATAATCTGCTCTCATTAATATTACAGCCGACAAAACCCTATGGGGCAGTTCTGTTCTATCCCATGGGGTCACTATGAGTCAAAACTCAGCTTAATGACACCTAACAACAACAATGTTGTGTGTGTGTGTATCTTGGAATTATATAACAATCCATACATCCATTGTATCAAGCGCATTTGTACAAAGGTTGTCATCACCATTTTCAAAACATTTTCTTTCTACTTAAGCCCTTGGAATCAGTTCCTCTTTTTCCTTCCCTTCCCCACCCTCCCCTTTTTATGAACCCTTGAAAAATTATAGATTATTATTATTTCCATATCTTACACCATCTGCTGTCTCCCTTCACCCATGTTTCCATTGTTTGTCCCCCTCAGCAAGGAGGAAGGCAGGTAATTCGTTGATCATTGCGATCAGTTCCCTCTTTCTCCCTCCACCTGCCCCCTACCCTCATGGTATCACTGCTCCCATTACTGTTCCTGAGGGATTTATCTGTCCTGGATTGTGTGTGTCAAAGAGCTCTTATCTGTACCAGTGTACATGCTCCGGTCTATCCGGATTTGTAAGGTAGACCTGGAGTCATGATAGTGGGGGGAGGAAGCATTAAAGAACAACAACAATGTTTAATAGAGCACCTGGTAAATATCAACTATTCAATGTTAGATGAGAACAGAACAGGGTGGGGGTCCCCAAAGATGAATATTAAGGCTGACTGTATAGCAGCATCACCTGTGGAATTTGAGAATATTAGATGTCTGGGTATTGTTCTTAATTTCCCATCCACTTATCCAGAACTTCCAGAGTCGGGGGACCCAGGCATTTACAGCTGTAGAAAGTTTCACATCTGATTTTTATGTTCTCTAGCCAAGCATGAAAACCACTGATCTAATGACTGCCTTAATAGGAGACAAAAGATAGCTCAATTGCCGGCGCTCTCTTTCTCTCTACATCTTTTTTTGAACAATAAATAAATAAAACAACTTACTTGAATCACTGTATAAAGGCCACTTGAATAACAGTTATTCAAGTTGGGCCAGCTTCATATGTACCATATATACTCGAGTTTATAAGCCAACCCGAATATCAACCTGAGCGCCTAATTTTACCACAAAAACTGCATTAAAAATGTGCTGAAAAACTTGGCTTATACTTGAATATGTATGGTAAGTTACAATTAATATATACCTTTTTTTAAAAGATGTGAAATTATTTTGAAGAGGGAGGGGGAAAAAAACCTACAGAGGAGTTCATTTTCTCTCCAAACCAGTGCATTCTGAAAATATCTCCTATTCTAAAATAAACTGAAGCTATCAATAATCACATATAAAGTCATTATGCCCAGTTGGTAAAGGATTAAAGATCTTTTCTGGGTTTCCATTGAGCAGGTATCAAGAGATTGGTTTTAGACAGATGTCTTTTGAGTAAGTGAAAGCCTCATTTAAAACCAACAAACAACGGAAACACATTACCTGTCTCTCCAATGATGTAAAAAAGTCCTGTCAGATAATTTGCAGCTAAACAAGCAACTTGAAGTGAAAAGGGAAATCCAAACTCATTTAACACACACACACCTCATGCATCTTTTTCCTTTTAACTCCACGTTTGACAAAAGTGTATTCTTTTTCGGGAAGCTGACAAAAGCTAGCAAATCCCCTCCTCAGCTTCACAGTCTTCCACAGAGCACATCCAACTGCCATACAACGCAAAAATGGATATTTAATTCAAGAGCTATATAACGTCCAGCTACCTTTTCCCTGCTGTTTCACAGCATTTCATTATTTTGTTTAATAAGTTCATCTCCTTGAGAATTTTCTCTTCACCTCATATTATTAAAAGTAATAAGTTTTTCTGGACCGGGGGTTTCCCAACAGAAAAACCAATTTATGTGTGTCCTTCAATAATGACAGGAAAAGATTATTTCCCATTATATTGCATACTTTTCATATCACCACCACAGCTTATCATTCAATAAATGTTACTCTGCAATTCTTTCCATTCCTCAAGGAAGTTTAATTTCTGCATTAACCTGTTTTCGCTAGCCAACGCCTTGCCAGAAAGCCTCTGTGTTGCAGCAAAATTAGTTCATTAAAGAACCCATTTAGGAATCTCTCGTCAGTGATAAAATTGTCTTCAGTTAATAAAAGGCCTAAAGTGAGTTTACATCTTGATCACACATACTTCCTCCCACACTCACACTCACTTTCTGCTAATCGCACATTCTTTCCTCCACGAAGGCGTTCTTTTGTAATGAAAGATAAATTAAACATTTATCTTAATAAAGGTAACTTCTTCACACCTTCTGCATAGAAAGACAGTTATCGTGGCTGGAACTAGTATTATAAATAGCATTATCTTTGCTCTGAAGAAAGATTTGCTGGCAATAACGTACCTTGTTTCCAGTTTTCCAGAAGAAATCTCTAATGGCCCGTAGCATTACTATAGCTACTGGAAAGGTGGCATTTACTGCTTCTTTTCCTGTAGAGGTCTTAATAAAATCTGATCCTAAAACAAAGGAAGAAAAAAAAATCCATGTTAATTAAAAACTTGGTTTTTTTACACTTTTGAAGTAGTGGAAGAAATGAGTGGTTTAAATTTTTTTTTTTTTCTGAACCACACAACTTTATATTTTAAAAACTAAAAAAAAAACAACAATGTCTCTTTACCATGCTTGGGGGCACTAAGGTTCTGTTAAGTAGTGATCGACACTTTCCAGGACGGTTTACGTTGATAGTTGGACCACATGGTAAACACATATTTAATGCCACTGAACTAACTGTACGGATAAAGGCTGTCAAAATGGCAAATGTCTTGTTTCTCATATATTTATCCCAACTGAAAAGCAAACTCTCATTCCATCCCAAGGATAGCTTTGGCTACTGTGAGTTTGTTTTCAAAATGGAAATGTCTATCAGTTATTCCAGTTATAAAAGAAATAGATTCACAAAACATAAAAACAATATAGATATTTATATCTCCCTTTAAAAAAATCCCTTCCATGTTTTCCCCCCTCCTCACTAGAGTGTAAATTAAATTAATCATCAAATGGTGCCTAACTGACATCTGGAACGCTTGTCTATACTTTCCTTTAAAAAACCAGCAACAAACCCATTGTCAGTGTGTTGATTCAGACCCCACTGCCATACTCTTTTTCCCTGGAGAAGCTGGAAGTTATGAACCACAGATTGTTTTGTATCATAGTTCAGTGCTTAACCACTGCATCACCAGCCCTTCTTCTATACATTCATACTTTCAAGTGAAATTAAGTGGCTTATTTAATATACAACTGAGGTGAATAAAACAATGTGATGCCTGGTGCCTAATATCATGGCTGTCTACTACAAAACCAAAGAACCGGCTCATTTACCCATGCTTGTTAGAACACAAATCAGTACACAGTCTAGTGAGGCAACACAAGAATCGCCATGACCTGATTTCTATTGCATTGTTCATTATATTAGAGCTTAGGTTCTGAACACCCTGGTCAAAAGGCTGTGGATTGCTGAGGCAAAATTTATTTGCAGAATCTCCGCATAGATTATACCTCCATGCGATGCTTTCTGATCGTTAACAGAGGA